TTATTACTTTTGAAAATATCACTTAAACAATTTGATTTAATTAATTTCGATATGTTCAGTTTCATTTAACGATGCCATTCCGCCGAAACTGTGATACTGAATAATATTTGACATTAGTTTTCAAGTTAGCATTTATAGATGTATAAAATGAGATTATATCAAATCTGGAAATTACAAAATTTAAGTTTAACATCTCAATTCTTCCATTTATGTACATTCTGTATTACGATTATTGCTTAAAATTGAAGGAAGAATTGAAATATGCAATAATACACAGGGGGTTTCGTTTAAAAAAAAGTTTGATGTCTGACAACTTTATGACCGACCCTGTATCCTTAAATTTACTAGTAGCTAATACGCATTTAAAAACCCATTACAACAGTATCACAGTTTCAGCAGAATGACATCACTAAATGAAACTGAACATATCGATATTAAAGGATATTAATTAAATCAAATTGTTTAAGTGATATGTTCAAAAGTCAATAACTCGGAAACGGTTGGTTTGAGGTACATTATGTGTGTTTCGATTTTTGTTTAGAATTGAAGGAACAATTGAAATATGCAATAATATACAGGGGGTTCTATTTAAAAAAATGAAACTTTAATGTGTCACGACTTTATGACCGACCCTGTATACATAAATTTATTACTCGACAATTTACGTATTTAACTTTTTGCGGTACCTTGTATATTTTACCGTTTCCATACATAAAAGCGACCCTGTATTCTTCTACTCTGTCCAGTTTTGTGTTATTTATCAGAATGTCTCTTCTGTCCACTATAGTTCGTTGTACTTTACTTTAGTTTTTGCTAAACTCATTTTGAGACCTACTTTATTGCTGGGTGTATATTGAGTTCGTTAATTTGTGTTTCTAGTTCTTCAGGACTATTGGTAATTAGGACTATGTCATCAGCGAATATTAGATGGTTAAGGTATTCTCCATCTATTTTTAATCCTTTGTTGGTTCAGTCGAGTTTACGGAAGACTTGTGTTCCTGTATACAGCTTTCAGGATATCGCGTCTCCCTGTCGTACTCCATTACCAGTTGGGAACTCAGGTGCTGTTTTATATATTATTACTCTTGCTTTGGCTTCTTTAGACAGGGTTGTTCACCACATACGACACGGAGTATTGTAGCTAAACGATTAGATTTTTACAAATTGTAAATTTTGGGTTCGTTGAAGGACTATTAGAGCTACAGTTTAAAAATATTTTTACAAGATACAGAGTGTCCCAAAGAAATAAAAAATATCAAAGTTGTATTTTTTCAAATGGAATACCCTGTATATTATTACATTTTTTATTTCTCTGATTAAAATAAAAGGTAAAATTGATAAAGGTTTATTACACTTAAACCTTACCGTTTTTGAAATATTTTCAATTTTGTGAAATTGCAGTCAAAATTTTAAGGCTTCATTTCTCCAAGGGTATCAAAGTTTTTAATACTAAATATTTACTGAAGTTTATTTATTGAACAGTTATTGTGTTGCAATAATAAAAATTATACTACCTTATACAGAGTGTCTAAAATTTTATTTTACATAATTACTAGCTTTAAACGGCAATAACTTGTTAAATTTAAATGCAACACGCTGTATATTTTATGAGAATCAGATGCACAATTTAATTGTCTATCAAATTGTATTATACCATTTTTTACCTATAGCTTCAAGTTTCCGTAGAAAATGCATTTTCATGTAATTTTAAATTCATTTATCAATATACCCATGGAATACTGACATTTTAGATTATTTTTAAAGATGTACCAAATTTTTAAAGAGTACAGATACTAATATTGTCGATATAGTTTGTTTATTTCATTAAAAAATAAAAAAAAAACTGTTTAAATATTTGTTAAAGAGGACCAATTAATATTATTCCAATATTCAAACTACATTAATTGACTGTTTGCGTTGATTAATAATAATTGCTCCAAAAACTAAAAAACTGAATTTTTTATGTGTATTATACAGTGTGGTAAAAAGTAACACCTTAAAAATGATATTTAATTTTTTGACAATTATGCTTATTTCTAACAACAGAGACATTCATTTTTATAACTTATTATTATATTGATTTCTGATTCAAATCCACATTTATTTAGAATAATTTATTCATGAATATAATTAAGTATGTAATTAATTAGTATTTGGGCGGAAATAATGGTGGTATATTTAATTAATGGTATACTCTTTTATGAAGATTTAAATAGTTTTCTTTTGGATACAAATGGACTTCTAGTAATATTATCATTTTGTTAAAAACGATAATATTACTAGCCTATACATTTTGTTGTACATTTATTGCTTTAAAAACAATCTAAAATGTCAATATTCCATGGGTATATTGATAAATGAGGTCTAAATATAAGAAAATGCATTTTCTACAAAACTTGACGGGATAGGTAAAAAGTGGTATAATACAATTTGATAACAGAAAATATGCATCTGATTCTTCTAAAATATACAGGGCGTTCCATTTAAATTAAACAAGTTATTGCCGTTTAAAGCTAGTAATTATTTAAAATAAAATTTTAGACACTCTGTATAAGGTATACTTTTATTATTGCAGCACAATAACTGATCAATAAATAAACTTCAGTAAATATTTAGTATTAAAAACTTTGATACCACTCTTTGGAGAAATGAGGCGCTTTAACATTTTACTGCATTTTCACAAAATTGAAAATGTTTCAAGAACGGTAAGATTTAAGTGATAAACCTTAATAAAATTTTTACCTTTATTTCAATCGTAGAATCTAAAAATAGAATAATATACAGGGTGTTCCATTTAAAAAAATACAACTATAGCATTTTTTACTTATTTGGGACACTCTGTATCTTGTAAAATTATTTCTAAATTGTAGCTCTAATAGTCCTTCAACGAACCCAAAACTTAAAATTTGTAAAAATCTAATTGTTTAGCTACAATACTCCGTGTCGTATGTGGTGAACAACCCTGTATATATTGGCGAGAGTTTCTATAAAAGGCCTGTTAATACCTTTTTTTGCTAGCGCTTCTATTATTGCCTTAGGATATATCGAGTAGAAAGCCTTCTCAAAGTCTATAAAGGCTATGCGGTTAGTGGAAGGTCATATTCTTTTGTTCCATTAATTAATAAGGATAATCATATTTGGTTAATGCAATTTTAGTAATCATCGAGTTCCAAACTCAATATACCTACCCATTGGCGGCGCATGGTTTCGGTAGTTTGAGGGCGCATAACCTAAAAAAATCGTCCAAAAATACTCTTTTTGTTTCTCAATTAAGGATGTTATTTAATCAAAAATAAATTAAAAACTCCGTCTCCAAATTTATCGTTGTTAAATATTGCATGCTAATGTAATTTTTGTAGTTCGTAAAATCAGAAAACTCCCACAACGCACGCTGATAATTCGAAGTGTATGGATTAGTGTGCATACTAGCCAGCTTAATACATCGAACATCGAACATAGAGTGTACCGGGTAGCAAAGAGTGCGAGCAATAAAGTTTGGCCCAATAATTAGTTCTAATATTCCGGTGAACAGTGGACGAAGTAATCAAGCAACGCGGTACAATAAATTTAATGAAAAATAGCACGCGCAAAATTGAGACGTATATTCAGCGATTGATGACGATAAAAATTGCAATTGTTGCCGTTTTTAGCTTATAACTCAAAAATAAATAGACAATATTTCCTACAAATTCAGTTCTTTACATTTTTTTATATATTGTTCAAGATTAGCGTATTTAGAGTTATGGCTTAAAAACAAATAATACTGTTATAATAATACATTCATCTGTCTTTCTCTCCCTCTCCTTGTGCTTCATGTACCAGCAGGGTGTGCAGTGGCTTGTGGGTGAGCTTTAAAAGCTGGTCTATCGTCATCGGGTGGGCGAGAGGCCTTTTGGTCTTTTTCCTGGAACCTTGCCCTGTAAAATGAGTCTTTCCATATAATCAGTTTCCCTCCTCATAACGTGACCGAAATATTTAAGTATAGGTGACTGTATAGACATTGAGAGATGTTCAGTTCTTGGATTATGGATTCATTGGTTCATCGGGCAGTCCAGGGATTTCTGAGCATCCGTCGCCAGCAGTTCGCGTCATTTTTTTTTATTTCTGACTGTCTCATCGTCCAGGACTCGGAGGCATACATTATTAGTATAGGAAATACTAGCAGTGAACAAACCTCTTTTTTAAGAGTTTTTATGTTTTTGTCTCGCCATATCTTTGAGAGATTTCACACTGTCACTCTTGTCATTTCACATCTTCTTCTTTTTCCCCTTCTAACGATCCTGTATCGTTTATAAGTGACCTAAGACATAAGACATATTATTGAATAACAACCTTAAAACGACCTATTCTTACTTCATCAACCTTGTAGTTTTGTCTGTCGATAAGCATAATTTTTGTTTTGGAGGGATTAATTTCAAGTCCAAGTTTCTCGCTTTCGTCTGCAACCAATTGTAGAAGTTGCAGTAATTCTTCCTTCATAGAGGATTTAAATTTATTACGCTGTACTTAAACTGCCGTTAAACGGTAGCCTACTGAAATGCCGTTAATAGATATGACGTCGTTGATGTGACGCACTTGACGGCTTTTTAATGCTTTGGTTAAAATGCCGTCGAACGGTCGCCTACTAAAATGCCGTTAATCAATTTGTGTTCCGTTTTCCGTTGCCCTTTTGGTATGTTTTTTTCGTCACGTTTGCACTATTATTGTAGTAACAATTTGTGCTAAGTGCTATAAGTTGATTTTAATTAAGGTGTACATCTGGATATTGTCGGTTCAGGATGGAGTAAGTGTTTCAGTTAGTTTTATGATTGTTAATTTATCTATAAACATTTTTAGGTTAGTTAGGTACCTAATTATATTTTATGACTGAAATTAGCATGCTGAAAATTGGGGATAGGTTCAGCTCATTCGCTGACGCAAAGAATTGCGATTGAGGAACTTGTTGAAAATACGTACACAACATTTTTGGTTGAAACGAGATGCCCGTACGATTCCAAGCAGTAAAATTGTGAGACCAATAGAAAGCTCTTTGATTTATTATCAACTTCTATATGCATGTAATCCCGGTGGAAAGAAGTTTAAGGGCAGTGGGAAAAAAATTTGACAGTCTTGGACATTTAAAGAAGATATCAAGCCCAGTACATGTAAGATTCAAAGCATCGTCTGATGGAAAAGCACTCGAGGTAACATCGGTTCAAATGAAGCACAATCATGTCACTTCGAAGGTAAGTTTACAGATTAGTTGACTTATAGTATGCTTTTAGAATTCTTGCTTGAACAGTATTTTATTCATAAAAGATATATTTTGTAGGTTCTACATGCACATAACCCTAGCCAAAGAAAACTTTCCAGTAACATGAAGGAAAGCGTCAAGGATTATTTAAATATGAAGGCCAATAGAAAAATGATACAGCAAAAAGTTCAAGAAAGTACTGGTAAAATTGTTACTTTACAAGATTTAACAAATATTAAGATATCTGATCAATCAAGAAAAGAAAACTTAGATGGCTGCTTAAATATACTTAAAGCTAAATACGGTAAACTAAAATATTCTATTATGGTCTTATTAGTCCCAATAACTACTCTGTTTTCAGGTGCCAATGTAGCTGTTTTGCGAGACGAAGACAATAATTTCAGAGGACTTTTCATTCAAAGTCCAACCATGAAAAGTACAATGAAGGCTTTTCCAGAATTTCTTGCTGTAGATGCTACATATAATTTATGATGATGCAGTTGTATTTGAAAGTAAAAAATCAGTCTTCTGTGGAACACTCTGAGGTTTGTGACGAGACGGACCTTCAAGACAGAAACAATATGAGTGAAGCGCTCATATTAGATAATAGAAATACATCAACTCTTGGTTAGTCACCTGTGGAAGCACCTGAGTTTTGTAACGAGCTGGTTATAGAGGAGGAAATGACGAGATGAAGCGCATCAACTTTCCTATATTAGTGATTCAGTTTTAAATGACGTCAACAACCAGTCCCATCAAATAGTTGAAGTCAATGATTTCGCTTTGACAACAATTAAGATGCCTGTTTCAATAAAAAAACGAGGACGTCCAAAAGGACAGGACTTAACAGTCATAGGACTACCAAAGAAAAAGAAAAGATGTACTGTAGCATTTGCTAAACAATCCTATCATGAAAAACAAAATGTAATCCTGAATTGCTTCGTTAAGGATCGTAACATCGTTAGAGACATCACAAATGGGAAATTTCTTGAAACTGTAGACCATAAAATGCTCCCCGAAGAAATATCACATGCCGTTCTTGATGAGGCTGTTGATATCCACATGATAAGGTAAGTCTAGCGATACCTAATAATTACCAAATTAATAACTAATAATGTAAATTACGATTTTTAGAAGTTTATGCACCGAGAAAGCCTTTGAAAAAATAACCAATCTAGTTGAGCAGAAACGACTTCAACAAATTTGGTTTTATTCTGTGTGCAGTGAAAACACGCAGAAAAATCATATGTCACTTTATTGCCGTAGATACCTTCTATGGAGACATATCCGTTGTGCAGGATTGACTAAGCGATCTAAATCAAAACTGTGGTTTTGCAGAGAATGCTATCTGTAGCATTATTATTTTTAAGTTGACGTAGTATTATTTTTAAGTTGTCAGTTTATAATTTGCAATAAAAACCTGAAAATCAATGCCATATATTACATTTTATCGCAAATACATTTTCAAACCTACAACGGCAACATATACGTCTACCTACATATACACCGTTCCAAGTTAATTTTATTCAGAATAAGCCATGACGGATTTTGGACAACATTACATTACAAATTATTAAGTATTAATCAGTAGCCTACTCTGCATTAACGATTAACGGCATTTTAGTACGCGACCGTTCGACGGCATTTTAACCAAAGCATTAAAAAGCCGTCAAGTGCGTCACATCAACGACGTCATACATATTAACGGCATTTCAGTAGGCTACCGTTTAACGGCAGTTTAAGTACAGCCAATTTATTATGTTGTTATTTAGACTTGCATAGAGGATTTAAATTTATAACGTTGTTGACAGCCTTACTTGCATTTGCAAGAAATGTGGTACTACTAATGATAACCATTCACTACTCCTGCACTTAGAAAAACTATTAGTGAGTGTTATCGTGCAGTGAAGCAATGTTATATTTTATTTTTAAAGACGAAGATATATTTAGTATCATCTGTATTTTAAAACTAAATATTGTCTGTATATTAGATCGTTCAGTTTCATCAACAGCAAACAATTCAACAGTTTATCAACCCGATTTCTATATTTGTTGTAGTTGTTTAATATATAGATCCATTAAAAATACGTCTCCAACTTCAGCAATCCTAGTGTATTTGAGGATCTTTAAAAATATGAATAGCAGATTTCAAGTCATCTAAAACTTAAGAAATTATAATTTCCCCTGGTTAAACATTGCCGAAGTTTTGTCACACCCAGCTTTGTCGGCTGTAAGAAAGGGTATCATAGAGTGTTTGAGATACATAGGTCAATCAAAATTACCAAAAGATGAACATCCCTCTTTTATTGTGACGTAATTATTTAATAGGATTAACGTTGCCGTCCACCTCAGCTTGATTTGGTACAATTTTTGCCTTTTCTGTAGACAATAGGTACTATGGACTCAGTAGGTATATGATATTGCAGCAGATTGATTTCTTTACATTCTTGTCGATCCTTCTGGTCCTTGGTGCTTGCACAATCTTTTCAGAGTAGCTATCAAAAATAACGAGAGAGAAAGAGAATAGGAATACAGCTCAAAACGCAAAAATGCATTATCTGAATGGCAATCCGTTGGAAAAGTCTGGTTGGATTGTAATTATTATTTATATTCTATTTTCTATCTGTATCTGTTTCTATCTGAGTTTTCCATTATTGCAAGAGGTTTTACTTTTTCACGTCATTTAAATTTGATTGTTTAAGAATTAGCATCCATGTACTTTAATTTTGAATAGAAACATTATTTACGAAAAGTTAATATTTTTAAAGTTATAAAATAGTATTCTTTTTTTTTGCATTTTACTCATGTTCCGTTAAAAAAAATGTTAGCAAACCTCAGATTCGAATTCAGCACCCCAAAAATCATAATGAATAGAAGAAATCAAAAAATCCATAAAACTTTCCCCCGAGAAAGAATTTCGAGTATAATTTGATTAGACTAACAGTAATAGATAGATTTAAGCCTTAACGCCCGGTAAGATATTTGCCGAAAAGTTTTTGAATATAAATTTCAAGTGCTTAATGCATATGTAAACTTATTGAGAAAGCGCCGCGTAACATGGTTCAAATCAGGAAAACGTTCTACTCTTACAGACTCCGGCCGTGAAAACTTACGCTCTCAAATTAACTTGATTGGGAATGACCAAAATAGCAGAACAATGGCTTGCTAACTCAGTTTGGAAGTTTTAACCACCTGCACATAACTCGTTATCCTCCACTGCTTTATCGCCAGCTTATAACCACCCCATTATTCCATCGTAGTAATCCACCGAAACAAGCGCCATCTATACCAATATAGACGTTCTTAGATCGGAAGGTGAATGTATGTAGAGTTCGTTAGTAAGTTGGGCTGCAGGAAGCTGACGATGATATCATAATTAGGTCGAAGTCTGGTTTTGTTTGATGGTGGAGCAAGGTACAAAGGGCTTAATTCAATTAGAGGACCATTACAGGCGGTTTATATTTAGTTAGTTTATATAGAGTGGTTTAATGTTGTTATTAAGCCGAAGTTATAATTTTATATTACTGATTATCTACTAAATATAAACAGATTGATCCAAAGTTACGAAAAAGTTTTCCGTTTTAGATTTTCACTTCAATCTTTCTACCTGCTTTACAACTCAGACAAATCGTATAAATAGGAAAATCCTACTGGGCAAAAAGAACGTACCCAAAATAAAATATACAAACTAGATATAAAACAGAAAAATGCTAGTTTGACATTTATTTACTTAAAAAGTTTATAAAGGATGATCGTATATGATTATTATACAGTATACAGTACCCTGATCGTCTTTACAAGAGAAAAAATCATTTATTTTTATTATTATTAACTTTTTGAGAAAAATGCCTGGAAAAAAGCATTCTAAAGATGATCCAGGGATATACTGTATAATGATATCATATGTATAATATCTCATTATACAGATTTGTTCACCACATACGACACGGAGTATTGTAACTAAATGATTACATTTTTTACAAATTGTAAGTTTTGGGTTCTTTGAAGGACCATTACAGCTACAATTTAAAAATATTTTTACAAGATAGAGTGTCCCAAATAAGTAAAAAATATTGTAGTTGTATTTTTTAATGGAACAACCTGTATATATTATTCTATTTTTAGATTGTACTATTGCAATAAATGTAAACTTGATTAATGTTTATCACAATTAAACCTTACTGTTTTTGAAATATTTTCAATTTTGTGAAATTGCAGTAAAAATTTTAAGGCTTCTTCAAGGGTATAAAATTTTTTAATACTAAATATTTACTGGAGATTATTTATTGATTAGATATAGTGTTGCAATAATATACAAAATACTACCTTATACAGAGTGTCTAAAAATTTATATTGAATAATTACTAGCTTTAAACAGAACTTCTTGATTAATTTTAATAACAACAACTTGATTAATTTAAATGAAACACCCTGTATATTTTACGAGAATATAAATGCACAATGTAATTGTCTATCAAATAGTATTATACCATTTTTTATCTATGTCTTCCAAGTTTTCATAGAAAATGCATTTTCTTATCATTTAGACCTCAATTATCACTATACCCATGGAATATTGACATTTTGGATTATTTTTAAAGATTTAACAAATTTTCAAAGAGTACTGATATAGTTCGCTTATTTCATAAAAAAAAAGAAAAAAAATCTGGTTAAATAATTTTTGTTAAAGAGAACCAATTATTAATATGATCCCAGTATTCACACTACATTAATTGACCGTTTACGTTGATTAATAATTGCTCCATACTAAAAAAAAATACTAAAAAATACTAAAAAACTGAATTTTGTATATGTATTAGACAGTGTGGTAAAAATTAACACCTTATAAATTTTAATTAATTTTTTGACGAATGCTTATTTATACAATATTTTCATAACTTATGATTATATTGATTTCTGAATCAAATCCACATTTATTTGGAATATATTTATTAAAACCACTAAGTATGTAATTAACTAATTTTTGGGCGGAAATATAATGGTGGCATATTAAATTGTTGGTATACTACTCTTTTACAAAGATTTAGGTTAGTTAAAAATAGTTTTCTTTTTGTAAACAAATAGGCTTACAATATTAGGTAGTATTTTTACCATCTGTACATTTTCTCCATATATGTTGGTTTAAAAAAACCTAAAATGTCAATATTCCATGAGTCCCATACAGCACACTTCGTCCCAGGGACGTACATTTTATGTCCATTTTACGTCGGTACGTCCCGGGACCAATTAAGGACGTACTATGTACGTACAAAACTGTACGTACATAGTACGTGCCCCATGTACGTACTATTTACGTAGATTGTAGGACTTCACTACGGACGTACATGCGAGTACGTACTACGGACGTACATGTGAGTACGTACTACGTACGTATCTTGAAAATTTTTGAAAACGCATTACAAAATGTTATTTGATTTTAATATCATGACTGGATTATTTTGGTCAGATATACCCAATAATAATGAATGGACTGGATCAGTGGATCTTTTCTAGGCTAACGTTAATTCAAGTCACTCTAACCTACCTCTACTTCTTTTATTAATAAATCTAACCCGACCGCTATAAAAAATGATTTCCTAAATTATCCAATGATCATAATGCATGACAGCTTTTGAAGAAATCTGATGGGTTAAAAATGCAATATATTATGCAATCAAGCCTAACAGGAAAATTATGCAGTCCTATGTTTAAATTTTCCGCTAAGTTATTCGTTCACATTCGAGTCTTGTCGGAATCGGAAGTCGGGCGGTTTCTAATGGCGTTTTCGATTGGAAGAGCTAGAGCGCACGTGCGCACTCAGTGTAGTTCCAGCTTTTATTAATCAACGTAAAAAATAAAAACAACAATACACTGAATGCGCACCTACTCCGATCCAGATATCGATTGTGTTGTGTGTCATGGTGGCCGTAGGTTGTTTGGCTTCCACCTTGTTTTCTTTTGTCGTTGCCTTCGTTGCTCATTGTTTCAAGGTAAGTTAAAGTGTAATAATATAATGTGACTATTTCACGTAGCACAGTCACAACCTCGAATGATTGAGAATCGCCTCATTCAATTTTTTCAAAACAGAGGCAAGAATTAGATATTTGAATACTTAGTTTTATTTTTGTATTTTTTAGTTAGAAGCAGTTCGAGAATAAAAAAATAAAATATCTATCAACATCCAATAAAAGACAGAGTGCGCTAAGGGTGTAGTTGCCGGACCGAAGCCAGACTCACGGGTGTATCAAGTACAGAGCGTTGGAAAATGTACGTCCCCGGTACGTACATAGTACGTACCTGTATGTACTTGTACGTACCAGGGACCTGACGTTCGTCCCAACATTATGTACCAGGTACGTACATAGTACGTACCGTGGCTGTATGGGGTATAGTGATAAATGAGCTCTAAATTATAAGAAAATGCATTTTCTACGAAAACATGAAGAAATAGGTAAAAAATGGATTACAATTTGATAGACCGTTCAATTTATTGTGCATCTGATTCCCGTAAAATATACAGGGTTGCATTTAAATTAAACAATATTATTGCCGTTTAAAGCTAGCAATTATTTAATATAAATTTTTGGACACTCTGTATAAGGTAGTATAATTTTTATTAATGCAACACAATAACTAATCAATAAATAATCCATTAAAAAAATACAACTATAATATTTTTTACTCATTTGGGACACTCCGTATCTAGTAAAATTATTTTTAAATTGTAGCTCTAATAATAGCCCTTCAACGGACCCAAAACTTACAATTTGTAAAATTCTAATCATTTAACTACAATACTCCGTGCTATATGTGGTGAACAACCCTGTACATCTGATAAAAGAATTTATGGCCACACTTTTTTATTCAAATATCTATAGATTTTTATGATAATGATAATATGTAGTTTATATTTATTTCTGTATCAATAATTGACAATAACATATCGCAAAATTAAAATATAAGTGAGTTTCCATGTTGCATTGGAAATTTTATTTTGTGTGCAATTTTAAGTTCAATAGTAATAAAATGTTTTTACTAAATCTGTGCTTCACCAAGAGGCCTTTTTACCTAAAACACAGCGGGAATGTGTATTTTTTCACTCAGTAATTGTATACAGGCACAGACGAAATGTTATTACTCTTTAAACCAGTTAAACTTCCCTTAGGAGATACAAGACCTGGTCGTTGATGGGGAAGCTCCTATAGGTCAGGTGTTTGTTGAAATGTTCAAAGATACCAAACCCAAAGGAAACTACAGGAGAAGCGGCTGAAACTTGCGTGAGATCATCCTCCACAAGTGGCACACAAGTTACCAGCTCCTCCTGCAAGGATTGGGAGCCTCTATACCCAATAAGTGACATAAGCTACCGTTTCGTCTACCCGGCCTGGGTCAACCAGGCGGACTAGACGAACCTCTGAGAGAAGGTGTCAGCAGAGCAGGAATACGGAGATATCTCCGACTGCTCTACGAAAGACTTGCTCCAGAGGAAGCAAAGCCGAAGGGACTTCTTAAAAAGGAAAGGGTAAAGAAATGAAGAAACAGCCTGGCACGTCACCAAAGGACAAAAATGGGAGCGAGAACCTCTCACCTCTACTCCGGCAAGGCGAGAAAAATACCAGCAATATCAATATTAGTTCACAAATTATTTGGAAAAAATCGAATCAAAAATGAAACCTCTACACCCTGTATCTCCGAAACGAACAACTTATACGCAATGTTTACCTACCTATCTTTTACTAGAGTTAATCTAAGATTAAGTTTTTCCGAGAGTATGCAATCCTTAAATTCGATTTTGCAGTACTTAAAGATAGAATATAATTTTTCCAACCATCCGCAACCCGAACCTCCAAATTTAGTGGTTCCAGTTTAAATAGTTTTCGAACTAAAAACACTTAAATTCGGTTTATTTTCTTTGGTCGTAACTAAAAGTGGAATTAAGCTCGTTAAATTGTAGCGAACTAGGGCCATATAGATTTTAAACTGCCTACGTTGGCAATAAAACTCTGGAGCGGAAACTTAGTGGTATTAATGACATAACTGAGCATTGTAAACTGTTGCCATGTTGGCAATTAAAGTAATATGGACGCTGGTTATATTGGATGATTGGTTTACTGCACTTTTTATAGAGATAATACGTTCTGTAATTTTTGATATGACGGTTATGTTGTGTATGGTTAAAAGCTTTTATATTTGAAATCAAATGAAACAGACTTTAAACTAAGTATCAATGAGTCATTATTATGTCTTGCCAATTTTCACGTTTTGCTGGTTAAATTAATAAAAAATTAAAATTTAAATCAAAAGTTCTTCGCAAATGCCTTGGAGACCCGTTAACAATTCATAGCGATCACTTTGTGGGAGGCGGTGTATAGAAAATGCCAGTTCTTTTTACCTTTTCATAAATCATCTTCGACTTGTGCGTTCTGACTTTATTGTCTGTAAGCAATCACTGACAATTAAGCTTTTAAATGCAAAGACAGGACCACAACAATAAGAAAAAAATAATATATTGGACCAATATACAGGGTGTCTCGATTATCCTTAAATAAAATGAACATATTCTTTCATTAATTACTGATATAAATGTCTAAATTAAAAATACATGCGTATAAGTAAAATATATAATATAAATATGATAGAGTTTCTTTAATATAATATAATTTTAATATTTCTAAATAATATACTTTAGTACAGAACTGATGTAAGCTCATCATTTTATTATTTTGTTTATTAATATGCCTACGTTTACTTCTTACTCCTATATAATAAACAATACTATATATTATCCTCCCTATTAATATACAATCATTCCTTGCAGTCTTCTAACATAGGATAACCCAGGATAGTCCATTTAAATAGTTTGAGCCCCTACCAAGGCGAAACAGAAGATAGTGCTGGGACTGCGAGAACCTGCAGCTTTGATCCCCCTGATTCGGAGATGTCCTTTGACGACTTTATGTCCCTATAAAATAACAGTGAGAAGGCTCGCTATGGTGTGACCAAAGAAGAACAACGAGAGCTCTTTTCCGTACCTCCTGATTATTCGCTCGCTCACTATGTGGCCCGAGATTTGCGAATGTCGGAGAACTACGCCGCGCGCCGACAGGATCCAGAGGTTCAAAGCGTCTTGAAGCTAACCGGCAATGCGCATGGTCAAGCAAGACACATCTTGTACCTGGTCACCAAGACACCAAGGAAAGGTCACCGAGTAAGTCGAGTTATCTCAATCTATTGTAGACCGTGATTGAACTGAGAGAAGCCCTGATAAACAACAATATTATAGGGTTAGCCCTTCCGAAGCTGGCGTCTGGACACGATGGTTTAACTTGGCGTACAATCTGTGGCATGATGAACATGACGGAACTGAAAAAATAGTAAGTATGGCATATCATTGTACTCAGGAGACCGAATTTTTTCAAAACCTGAAATAAAAAATGGAGGTCCGTATAAAAAATTAAATTGGCATGTGTATCTCACAAATTATCAGCTAATTTGAAAATCTAAAAATATTATCAGATAGCTCTAATAAAGTGGCTATGAGAATGAGCAATTAGTTTTTTGATTTTCTAAAAAGTAACGACAGGAAAAAATAAAATTGATTGATTTTCAAAAAAATCCGTTTTTTCAAGAAAACTCAATCAATCCAATCAATCAAAAAAAGCAATCCTTGAAATTTTCTAAACTTTTTTGATGGCATCTTGGTGAACATCTCAAAGCGCCAATTTAACAATATTCGTATCTATTACGGTTACCGAGATACCATTGCTCGTACCCCGAATTTGTAGCACCCTGTATAGACTATAATTTATAAAGATTAGTTCGGTGGTTCGTAGTTAGGGAGTTTGGTAGTTCGTTAGTTCGGTGAGAGGTAGGTAGATAATTTTTAAAGTTTATCAAATGTAGACATTCTTAAATAAGATTATAAAATACTTACCAATATTCAGACAGGTGAGAATGTGACCGACGACCAGTAAAGTTTAATCTGACATTCGAGTTAATCTATTTGGCAGGTACATACTGGAAATCCTAGAAAAAAAAAGGTACAGAATTAAAAGGAATTATGGAGGCTTTATATTCTCATTATTTATGTTGTTTCTATTCATTTATCTGAGTATTTTTGTAAATCATTCATTTATATCTACATCTTAATTTATATATATATATATATATATATATATATATATATATATATATATATATATATATATATATATATATATATATATATATATATATATATATATATATATATATATATATATATATATTTTTCTCATTTATTTTTTCTATTCCAAGCTGTGTTATATTTTTGTTTCGCATCTCTGACTTGTGAGAACGGAACTCCACAACCCACATCTACGCACCGTATTTAAATAGGTTTGGAGATCGAAATATGTTTGAGATGATTAAACCAATTTAAATCGGATTATCAGACCCCTGTTTTGGAACCGTCCTGAATAATTTCATTATCTTTGACCAAAATAATGAGCTGGGAGGCCTAATAGAATAAGAAACGTACACGTGTCGAACCAAAAATATCGATAATATATTTAAAATCCATGCTCTCAAGTAGAATGTTTCTTTTATACCATAAATAAAGATTTTAACCCACTTTATGTTTTGAAGTATTGTCTATATTAATAAAAATTTATCAAATAAAACGCAGGGCCCTCCATTCGAAATACTGCAGAAAATTATTGATTATGCACACAGTGGTCTTTGTAATATAGGACATCAACTGTAACCCGGGAATCGTTATTAATACAAGTAAAGGAAAAATATTTGTACTTAAATCGGCCAACAGAAATATCTGTAAAATGATTTCCAAGTTTAAAAGTTGGCTGTTATGAGCGGCAACAAAAACACAATACAGAAAATACCAACTATCTCTTGAAATGTCCTAACTTAGAGCAGCTAAAACTATAATATCTCAGTGTATTCTTCAACCAATTCTCATATTATTTTGCTTCAAATAATTTTTGTCACTTGTCAAAAATAAAGTGGTAGAAAAAGGTTATACGTTCAAATGTTGATGTTGATACTATTGTATATCTGATTTGGACGCTCACATTTTAAATCAACTTGTAGTCAAAAAAGTAGAGGGAAGTAACCAAATATGGAATAGTATCCCTAAAATGGAATATCGCCATTTCTCAGAAATTCTTCTTCTTCTTATTCATTTCTAAGATCTCGCGATCTGTTAATTTTGATGGGTCCTCTGTAACAGTTCTTGGGAGGTGGACTGCCAGCTGTCCTTCCATCTCTTAGGTGGTCTTCCAGGTTCTCTTTTCCCTGTTGGTTTAATTAATACACCTAATTGCAAAAGACAGGGATATTTAATCTCTTTCCATCATGATACTCATGTGCAGGTTTTGTCTTGTCAGTCAAACAAAAAGGCTTTGGGGCCGCGATGAGAGTGTTTTCTTTCAGCGCTATGAGAAATGTTTTTAAGGTACTCATAAAGGAAGAAGTATTTCTTGATATACGTAATATAAAAATATTCTTTATTATGACGTTTATTACGAAAAATTACGCTTTTATTAGTTTGAAATTTCTGCATATAGAGAGTCTGTCGGATCTAAATATGAAATAGGAAAAGTCAAATGGATTCAGACGACTAAGAAGAAATAAATTTTGACACAGTGAGCGCTATGCCGTAATAGAACAGTCTGACTCAAAAAATGCAGAGTGTATGTTCTGTAACCGCCTATTTTCTCGAGATATTTGAGGACCTTGCTCCGATGCTTCCGATGTGCGGACTCTGGACACATGTTTATTGCGCAGGTAGGTACAGTACGTCTATCGGTCCTGTAGCTACGCGGCATCCGTAAAGGGGAAAACGATATTTTCTCGATGTTTTTCGTAAAGGTCCTTTCATAGACACAGGTCCAGAAGATGTACTTTACAGAGTTCGATACTTGATTTTGTGATTTCTGCAAGTAACCTAATTTTGACCAAAGTTCCTGTGGTATTTCATAAAAATTAATTATTATTTATAATTTTATAGTAGTCCCGAGAGTAGTCCATATTTACTGGTACCTATTCCATTAGGTACCATTATGTTGATTTAGATCGCTGTCATTTTGTATGTAAAATTATATAGGAAATGTCATCGGTCATCATTTCCAAGCCAACTGGAAGCCATTTTTTTTCGATCATACGGTATTATTTCAAAAAGAAAAACATAATGGTACATTGTAATTTTGATATGCAGGTTCAAAACAAAAAGTGCTGTTATATTTTCCAGTTTTCGTTGTCAGCCGCTGAAGTTTCAGTGATTTTACTGTTATCGGATATACAACTTAACAAGTATAGCTAGAGACGTGAGAAATATAGAAGTGTCTAGTTCTAGCAGTCAACTATTAAGCTTGACCAATCAGGTTGGTTAGCGTGGTTATTTAGAGTGTGTTAATTCATTCGTGTTTGTCAAAAACTCTAACGTGATTGGTCGGGCTTAACAGTTGCCTGCTAGGGCTAGACACAAGTAGAAATATAAAATAAGAGACGCCCCTCGATGCGCAGTGGACAGCCCACAAATTTGCTTTAATCAGATTGTTCGTAGCGTAACTGCATCTCTCTTCCTCCGAATGCGTTCTCTCTCTATCGTGTGCGCGACCGGTGCTATCCCCAAGTCTCTTCCTATATTTGTCAAACTGTACTTACATAATATATTGAAATTTTATAATTCGTTTTGTTTAAAAATGATAGAAACAAACCTGTAATTGACATACCTAATTGTTATGTAATTTATTTCATTTAAATGTAATTACTTAACAATTAAAAAACCCTAAATTTAAATAATATATTAAAAATATATACAGGCATTCTCGCAGGCATTAATTGAAATTTTTAGTATGCGAACAACACGAGAGGGGGATGTTTTGTACCAAATATTATATTTGGTACTATACCCAACTAAAATGAAGTGAAGTGAGATTTATTTGAATATTATGCTACAGATGACTGATTCACATATCGAATAATATGAAATGACCAATCAATTTGACTGTTTTCATTTTTTCTCTATATTTTTGTTTGCATTTCGATTTAAGTATTTTCTGTATCTCAATATACTATGTAATTCTTTAATAATATTATTTTGAATATGTTATTTTTCCACTATTTTCCGTTGAATTTATGTTCTATATTGTCTATATGACGTGAACTGTCAATTGCGGAAGATAGCGGAATTCTAAACCTAATTTATTTAAAAACAAATTTTGTGTAAAAAATCCGCTAATTTTTCTGATATTGTATTGTGTAATATTACAGCTGAGGGTTGGACCTTTGGTGTAATATAAAACAGCAAAATAAAACATTAATTCACCACTATACACCAAAAAAGTTTACTATTGTACTGGACGCGCCTTTCTATTCATGGTTAGAGAAACAGATGATTAAAACTAAATTAATATCTACAAAAACGGTCAACTACTAAACTGTAGTGTAAACACTGTAAAACGCGCGTCCAGTGCAAAAGTAAAGTGTTTTGGTGTAGAGTGGTGAATAAGAGTTTTATTTTGCTGATATTTTAATAGATATATCTGTCATTAAAATTTTCTTACTTAGGTTGATTTATGTAATCAAGACATGCAAAGAATTAAAACTTTCAAAGTATTACGCGATTATTAAGTTTAAAAGAGAATATCGAACCATTATCAAACAAAACCAACAAAGCGTTATTTAAAACAAAGCCCCTGCCTACCATCAAAATTACGGAATCCAACGACGTAAATGAAATCTTACTGGAACAAATATGACTGTAATTTCGGTCTGGTTTTCCTCTTTTAAGCCCCGAATACTTACAGTATTAATTTCAACTAATGCTCTCTAGCACTCGTTTTAATTAAAACAATGTATTTTCTTTTGTGCGTCCGCCTCTGTCTGGACACAAAAGATGGCCTGGATAAAGCCTCAAACAATTTGTTTTGGTTCCTTGTTGCATCTTGGATATGCTATGTCGCAGAGGGGTCCAGCTCTAATAATAAACTGCTTTTGTTCAATTAAATTAAAGTGATAAACTAGATAGTTGTACCTTTGTGGTGTATTCGATACTTCAAAATCCTGAAGAAAATAATTTTAAAAATTAAAAATATTTATTTTATAACAAGCAGTACTGTCTTATACAGACTGCCATCAAAAACGAAATCAGTAAGTCTATATTTGTATAAAAAATTGTCTACCAAATAGTACGATTGGGGTTGGAATCTTTGGTGTTACAACAACACAATAAAACACTATACACCAAAACACGTTACGTTGTATTTTAACACAGGACGCGCGCTTCGCTGTTAGCATCACAAGTAGATAATTAAAACTAAACTATTATAATGGTTAATTTTAAATTACTAACATCTCTACAATGATCTCATGAAAAATATCTTGAGCAACAAAAGATTTATCTGTTCTGCCATAAATTAATAAAGCCATATGTTCTTTAAACTTAGTTTACCCAACATATTTTTCACACACCCCCATTCTTATACATATAATTGCCATTCCTAAAAATTCTTTTTAAACCATAGGTTAACTCTATCAAACATTATATCTTATCAACTCTTACTCAAACGTAATTTGACGTATCTTAATCTACTTGAAAAGTCGAGGTTACATAAATCGTAAACTTGTACCTATGTTTTCTAATTATTTTATCAACTAATGAAGTTGGATAACCATTACACTCAGCTACATTGTCTAAATAACCTCCTTCTATTTAATATATATTATGTTTTGTAGAAAGTGATAAACTATTTACTATTTAAACTAGCCATATTATGTTCAATACAATGATAAGACTCATAGTGTTTAACGTGCTACCAACACCTGTAATGTTCTCATTTTTCACTTTTAGTTCTAATTTTCATAAAAATTCTCATTTTTCTCGAGAATAAAAAATTCAGAATAAAATTTTAAAAATTAACTGATTGATTTTCCATTTTATTTACTGTGCGCCAATTATAATAAATCCTCTATATTCACTAGTTGTTGCTCAAGAATTTATTCTCAAGAATTTTGGTGATAATTTAGTTGTAGAATGTATGGGAGGGATTTAATCATCGCGACCTTACAGATCTATTGTGTCCCCCTTTCTTGAGTCCCCCCATCACAGTTATCAGTCATACAAAAGATCATGGCACGAATGGTTGTCGTCTCGGCGCACCCAGTAATGAGTTGTTCTGGTGTTTCCTCATTTTCACCACAAAACCTGTAATCGTCGTGGTTTCTTAGCTTCAACTCTTCTTTGAGGAGACAGTGTCCTGTTAAAAACACCGTGACGATCCGAAGATTGTTATTACTTAAATCAAGGAAAATATCTGATTTTTCTTGGTCGTAACTTTGAGCAAATTCTTCGAGTATATCTTAGACCGCTGTAGGATTCCTATTCCAGGTTACAGATGGAGTCATCCAGGTTCTCGAATTCGAAAGTTGGTTTCCACTTGGGAAGCAGAACGGTTCTAGCTAGATCGTTTGAGGGGCTGGCACCCAGGGTAGGAGAACTTCCTAAATCTTTGCCTAATTTGTTCAACTTCTCTAGGCATTTTTTGACCAACTTTGGATTGATGGTTACTGAGTTGACTGCTTTTGATGCTGGTTGACTTGGCGTCCCGCAATGATCTATACTTGGACCGACACTGTGGAACGTTTTCTATGACCAAGTGCTTAGAGAGGACCACGGACCGGGGTGCAGTCTTATTGGATATGCAGACGATCTAGCCCTAGTGACAAGTGCCCCCAGCAAAAGCATGCTTATAGAAAGAATGACTGCTGCAGCATACACTATTAAAAATAAGCTGGATGAGATGGGCATAGAGTTAGCTACCAATAAGACTGAAATAGTCATTTTGGCGGGAAGACAGAAGATGAAGGAGGTAGAATTTAGCTGGTGCAATACCAACATTAAAAGCACAAGTGCGGTAAAATACATGGGAGTTTGGCTAGATAAAGACGCTCGGATGACCATCCATATTCGAAAATTTCAGGAAAAAACAGAGGCAATCATAAAGCAGTTATCCAGAGTTATGCCCAATCTGAAGGGACCGGTGGCAGAAAAGAGGAGGACATTGGCCTCGGTGGTGTCTTCCACGATTCTGTATGCGTCTCCCATATGGGAGAGAGCCCTAAAATACAAACTCTACGAAAATATCTTCCGACTAAAAATACAAACTCTACGATAATATATCGACTCCATAAATCGTAAAATAGCGCTGAGAGTAACATCGGCATATAGAACATCTCCAACTAAGGCCATCCTGGTCCTAGCCGGTATCCCACCGATAAAGCTCCAAACAGAACAAAGAAGTCTAGTGTATAAACATGGAGACCAATTCAGATTTGAGGCCAGAAATATTATACTGGACAAATGGCAGGATGCGTGGTCGCAATATCAAGGATGGGCTAAAACGTTTATTTTAGATGTCAGGGTCTGGGTAAACTGCAAGGCAATTAATATAGACAATTTTGTGACACAAGCCATTACCGGACACGGGGTTTTTGGCACCTACCCAAAAAGAATCGGCAAAAGGGACAGCGACACTTGCACTTACTGTAATACTGTGGACAGCCCGGGTCATACAATATTTCTCTGCCCTAGGTGGCAAACGATACGGGAAGAAACAGAAGAAATATGCCAAAGGAAGCTGGAGGAAAACACAGTTGGTATCACCATTAGTGAGGATGAAGAAAAGTGCCGAGCCATTATATCAATGCTGCATACCATAATGAAACATAAAGTAGACGATGAGATTAAAGCCAAAAATTCGTGATACTGTGATATTATTGTCTGTGATAAAGAACTAAACTGTGATAAAAAAACTGACTGTGATTTGATTAAAATAATAAGGAAGATTTGTGTGTATATATATATATATATATATATATATATATATATATATATATATATATATATATATATATATATATATATATATATATATATATATATATATATATACATATATGGAAATGAATGTTAGAATAGTTTAGAGAATATGAGATAACTGAGAATCACCTACTATCCCGATGTCATGCTTCACGGCAGTTCCAGGATAGTTAGGGTTATGTAGCAAAGATGGGTTTTTAGCGGGTAGGCCCTCCCTCTGGGTAGAGTAGGGAGGGAGATCCCCACACTCCGGCCCTAAAGGCGTTTCCCATCTATATAAAAAAAATGATGCTGGTTGACTATACAATTTGGTTACTGAACTGTGTCCAAAAAAATACAGTCTCGCCTATACGGCTAAAGGATAGAAATGCCATCAGATATCTGTGATGATATGTGATAACGAGGCATAAATATTAAGAAGAAAAAGTATAACACTCTATTTCAAAGCCATTAGCTTAGTCCAATGGTTATCATTTTCACTATTTTCTATTTTTGATTATATTCATTTATTCATCATAAATTATTACTTCAATCAGTTTATTTGTAACATATTACAAATTTAGTCTCAGTTATGTTAAAATAATTTATAAATAACATTTAAGATGTCGTTGAATTCAAATGCCCCCTGTAGAGTCTTCTCATAAAGTGTAAGTAAAGGATTTTACTTACTATTTTTACTTGTTAAGAACATACATTCCAAATTCTATTTTATAAAATTGGATTGCAACTGCGATCAAACAGACTGCACTTCAAATTTTTTAATAATTTATCCCTTAAAAGGTACGCTTAATTATTGACACATGAAAAACAAATGGGTTTATATTTTCAGCTAAGGCAACACTCGTATTTTATATATTGATCTTTATGACGACATTTATTGAAGACTATTTATTATCTGTCAGAAAAGAGCCTGCAATAAATTTGACGAAAATTTTTAATAGCCCATTTATTTTTTTCAATTGTTCTGCTGGGTTAAATGAATGGCATGGCGAGCTCAAGGTATTTACTAAAATGTAGCAGTATAGCAAAAAATCAGGTTTATAGTTTAAATAAAAAATAAAATAAATATTAGTAATCTATGTAAATAAAAAAGGCGAGTTAAGTTCCATTTCTAACTAAAGAACGGCTGTACCGATTTAAATGATCTTTGTTGAATTCGTCTCCGCTACGTATATCAGAAAATCTTAAAATATTGGAAAAACTAAAGAGTAAAAATAAACAGAATAGTTATTTATGATGTAAATGCTAAAAGTGGTTTTATTTTGTGAGAAGGGAAGCTTGGGACACGACGCCGAAGGTGGAGCAGGCCGATGGATGGTGCATCCCTTCGAACAAAATAAAATCACTTTTAGCACACATATCATACACTATTTTTTCTACAAACAAGTTTATGCTCGTATATACCAAGGTATTATTACTTTTTACGTTAATGAATAATTCATAATAGGTCATTCCGAAATTAAATTAATTATGAAGTTTATGGTTGCTAAGGTAATTGAAAGATTCCAAACATTCGATCATTCGCTTCAGTGTTAAAAGTAAGTGACTTTCTTTTAGAACCAGTGCCAGTGCTAAAAGTAAATGACTTTTACTATCAGTCACATAATGTCACATTTTAGACACTGCACTGACAGCATACGTTAAAAAAATACATTTTTACTGACGTTTGTAAAAAAAAATATTTTTTGGAAAAATTGACAACTTAAAATCGAAAAAATATTCAGTGTTAAGACACTCTGCATACATAAATAAAATTATTGATTTTTAAAATGTTATTGACAAACTAGGGAAATCAGACAACGAACAGAGAAAATAGGTGTTAGGTAATAGCTTTTATACTACCATTCGAGACGCAATGATTATATTTTGGTTTGTAAATATTGATTATTGGACAAAGAATGTTATTGAAGGTAAAGTAACCGTTTCTTCATTATTTAACTAATGTTAACTAAAGCATATATTTTATTTTCCTGTTGAAATATTATGTGCTAAAGCTTTTCCTTTTTATTTGATCTGAAAAAGATATTGTATAGCATGTGTATGTATTTAATGGATTCGATTTATGCTGTGAATAATTTCTAGTTTAAAATTAAAGCTAAATGCAATCGTTTACTGTCCATTCGTAGCGAAGTTTTTGGTTCAGTATGACATAGTGTGACAATAAGGGCAGTGTTGCGTGTTTAGTAATTTCCAACCGTGCCTGGGCGAATATCTTAGCAAACAAGTGAGCAGTCGAAACCAAAGTATGGTATAACTCATAATCTATTATTATTGGCACCAAACATTTCAACTATAGCTGAGTAGCCTCCCGAATCCAAGGACCTCAGTACCTGCTAACTAACAAAACCTCTTCAGTTACGAATTTTTAAGTGTCTTGAACTTCAAACCTTTATGTTCTTATTATTACTCTTTTCTTAAAGTTCAGAACAGCATATAGTTGGATTCTTTGGAATAATGATCAAGCCGTGCTCTTTTACTTCGGAATTCCAGGCAGAGTACGGCACTCCTTTCATTTCATTTAATTAAATAAATAGGATTATTTACAAATTTAGCGTTTAATTTACATAACTTATTTTCCACAAATTTCCCCAATATTACTTCTATCGAGCGCATCCGAGGTAAGGCCCAAAAAAAATATTTTTAACACAACGTAGGTTCCTTTATTTCATTTAAATTATTTGTTATACAGTTGGCCAAAATATTACCTCTTCAACTTTGTTGGACTACCCCCCGGTTGTTATACTACAATGTATAATAAACTCTTTTAATTTAGTTAAAAGGAAAAATCGCTTATATCTGAACAATCTCTGTTTTAACACATCAATACTGCGGCCTGATTGAAAAGCAATTGACTGGGTAATTTTTCAATTTCCAGAATGACATAAAGAATTGCTCGTATATAACAAAACGAAACAAATCCAAAAATCGATTGTTTTAACGTGTATCTTTTTCATATCATATATTTATCTCTACAGTTAAACCGTAGCTAAACCAATGGTAATAAAGACACTTCAATAAAGATAAAGGAAAGTATCGGGGAGTGTGAAAGAGATTTAGACCAAACCCTAAACAAATAGAAGAGAAAGCAGCAAATAATGAAATGTTGTTTACCATTCTTGTTGATTTATTTTAGTGTCTCGTATAGAGTTATAAAGTAGAAAATTGTTTTAACAAATTAATATTTAATTATAACATAAGAATGCTACAAAATGAAAATATGCGTGATAAAAATTTCTGAAAGATTTAATCCTCTTATCTAAGGAAGTTAGACAGAGCATTAAAAAATTGTCTGCATATTTTTTCCGAACAATTTCGACTCTTAAACGACTATTCACGGCTATTTCCCCTGTTTCAGCACTTTTGGGCGACTGGCCACTTTTTACCTTTTTTTTCTAACTCGTTAAATCGTTTAATGTCCCTATTTCACCACTAAAAAATCCATTAGGTCGCTTCAGCAAATTGAAAGACGAATGTACAGGAGATTTTCTGGGAAACAGAATCATTTAATGGATGGTAGAATTTGCAATTAGGTACTGGATATTATTTTAACCTTTTGATAAGTTTAGTTTAATAAAAAAACTAGCTTTTTCCCGCGACTTCGACCGTGTATACCTCGAATTATCCAAAAATTTCCTCTTTTTTTTTTAATACACATATTTTAAATGACCGTTTACACTTTTATGGATAGAGCTAATTAGCCTTACAATTGCACTATTTAAACTATGTTTCGAAAATTAATAGTTTTAGAACTACTTCAGATAAAAGTTTTCAATTATTGTCTATTTTCTGATTTTTGCATAACTTTTCAAATAGATATATTTATTTTACAATTATTGTTTACCTAAAATTTATAAAAGCCGTCAACAATATAACAACTTCAAGAACATGTTTACTCTCTTTATACGTTACTAGCGTGTTCCAGCGACTTCCTTCGCGTCGAATTAATCATTTGTAATGGTGATGATAAAGCAAAGCAAGAATTTCCATTAACATACAAACTGGATAAAATTTTCTCACATTTATGTCAGCATGAGAAAAAACAATATGGCGATATTATTATATAACGTGGTAATATTTGATCGGTAGTTTCATCTCGTTGGAATTTGACTTTCGAAAAATCCGTTTGCCAAAAATAAGCTTTTTACGTCAAGCAGTTTAAGCAGAATCGTGGTTAAGAAATTACCCAACTGTCTTGAACACCCTGTATGATTTTTTTAAAAATTTCAAAATATGTAAAAAAACCAAATAAATTATGCTTGTCCAAGCGTTTTCCCGAAAGAGTAACGGTTTTTTAAATAACAAATATTGTAATATTTGAGGGGCGTTTTCACCCTCTTGGAATTTGAGATTCGAAAAACCCCTCCTTATCGAACCTCTACACCCCACAGTCAATCCGTTTGCCAAAAATCAGCTTTAAACGTCAAGCAGTTTAAGCAGAATCGTGATTATATCATAGTATAAAGAAATTCCTTAAACTATGATTATATCGTGATATTTTATGAAACACCCTGTATAAATTTATAAAAAAATCTTAAAATATGTAAAACAACAAAATAAAATATACGTGTTTAAGAGTTTTTCCGAAAAACTCGCCGGTTTTTAAATAAAAAGATTTGAGGGATAGTTTCACCCCTAGAATTTAGAATTCGAGTTTCGAAAAATCTCTTCTTATCGAATCTCTACACCCTAAAGTCAATCTGTTTTTCAAAAATCAGCTTTTTACGTCAAGCGCTTTAAGCTGGATCGTGATTAATCAATGACCAGATTTTTCGAAACACCCCGTATACATTTTTAAAAATCCTAAAATATGTAAAAAAACAAAATAAAATATACGTGTTTAAGAACTCGTATATTTTCGGAAACTCGTATGACTCGTTATTTAAA